TAAGGATCCCGAAGAATCCGCCGAACAAATCAAAGTAATTATTAATTAACAAAAAAGTCTATACTTTTCTCATGCTTAAGAGTCAAATCATGACGCTAATAGGGAGCAATTGCATACGACGGCTCTCGCAATATATCTCAACCTAACGCGGATCCAGTTCAAGTTTTAATTAATTATGAGTCCATCCATAATTACTGACTATGAACAATTTATGATTACTATTTATATATCATGCATTGATTGCCATCACATACATATATATAAATATCTCTTATAATCAAATGGACACTATCAATTCTATAATGAATCGAAATATAATACATTGAATTCACCAATTGTATAAAACATAAAAATTTCAGAAACGTCAGGAACATATGTCACTTAATCCAAACAGGAATTTGCTATACCAGGGCATATAAATCCCAACAGGAACATGAATGCTTAAGCTTTTGTGAAGTAATGTATAGCGTAACCATAGCATATTTTCAATAATTTTGGGCCACAACTGCTCCAGAATAGAAAACATATCCAATTGTAGGTGACCAAATGATGTGAATAGGTGCCAACATTGAAATGAAGAGGTGCACCCATACACCAAGAGATTGGTAAATACCCCCATAATTCATTCGTTCCATTCTTTGATTTCCTCCCTCCCTCTCTCATGAACTCAAATGGGTTCAAGCCATGGTCAAGTCTTTCGAGCCACTTGACTTAAAATCAATTTTACCGAATCAGATTAAAATTAGTTCGTGCCATTTGGTTCAATTTGCACCCAATTGAATTTTTAATATAGTATAGATGTAATTTTTAGTTGGAGAGAGTATTACACAGAAGTGGTTCACTGTATTTACGAGTTTGAAGTGCTGCTACTGACGGATAGAATTTGTTGTATCTCTTCATAGAGTCAATCAGCACCATGTGAGCATAAATTGTCTTAAAGACATAATATTCAATATTAGATTCGTTCGAGTTTCTTTATTTTATTATTTATAATTTTATTAATTTATTTTACTATTTAATTGAATATTTTAGTAATTATTTCTTAGCATATTATTATTAAGTATCTCATAACATATTATATATAAGAATTGTTATATCTTAAATGTGAGGTGTATATTTTTCAACAATAACAACTGTAAATATAAAATTTAATATATAAGAAGCTAGTTTTTTATAATATGTGGATTGATTTGTATTCTCATTATAAGAAAAAGCGCCTATTGATTGAGTGTGCCAATATCAGCTTTCCAAATTAAACAAGCACTGATTTTCATAAGTTTGAGTTATAATTGTTTTAAACTTTAATTGATCAAGTTAAGATTTAGATTAGTAATAGTAATCATTCAACTAAAATTATTCAAAACTTAAATCTTCAATCCAAACCAACATTATCAATACTTTAATTTAAACTGAATTTTGCGTGTCTTTCTATTTAAGGAGAATGTATTCGTGTGTCCGTTGCATCAGAATTGTTAGTTCCGTGCATGTTGTGTACACTGTAATACCTCCTCCTTATTGGAGCCTTTTTGCTGAAAAAATATTTGGGTCGGAGGTCAATAAAAACTTAGGACTAATTAAGGTAGAAAAATTCATTAGCTAGACGTACTACATTTACAACTCCACAAACATCGGAATGATGATGAGTTCAGTGGTGATCAAAATGATCAAGCGGTGGAAGTCCAACGTTACGTCTTGCATTTCTCACATGCTATCTTTACTCATCACGATGTGACATGCGTTGGCAAAAAGACAACCAGTATATAACCGGCCATAAATTGTCTTTAAAGACATAATATTCAATATTAATATTAAATTCGATAGAGTTTCTTTATTTTATTATTTATAATTTTATTAATTTATTTTACTATTTAATTGAATATTTTATTAATTACTTCTTAGCATATTATTATTAAGTATCTCATAACATATTATATATAATAAATATTTTTTTTTTGGAAGGTTATTATATATAATAATTGCTGTATCTTTAATGCGAGGTGTATATTTTTCAACAATAACAACTGTAAATATAAAATTTCATATATAAAAAGCTAGTTTTTTATAATATGTAGACTGATTTGTATTCTTATTATAAGATTGATTGAGTATGCCAATATTAGCTCTCCAAATTAAACAAGCTCTGATTTTCTTAAGTTTGAGTTATACTTGTTTTAAACTTGAATTGATCAAGTTAAGATTTAGGTTAGTAATAGTAGTCATTCAACTAAAACTATTCAAAACTTAAATTTTCAATCCGAATCAACATTATCAATATTTTAAATTTATACTGAATTTTGCAAGTCTTTCTATTTAATAAAAAAGTCTTTCTATTTAGGTAAAAATGCAAAAAAAAACTCCATGAACTATCAGGAATCGGCATTTTACCCCCTTAAACTACAAAAATGAACAAATCAGTACAACAACTATCCAAATCGTTCAAATTAACCCCTAAAAGTCGATTCTGGCAACTTTCCAGGCGACTTCATTGTAGATTTACAAAACTACCCATTGTAATTAAGAAAAAAAAAATACCAAAATAAATAATCAGCGTGAAATACCCTTAATGCCCCTCAACAATTTTTTATTATTTGACCAAAATGCATCTCATCCTCTCTCCATCCACCTCACCCCCTCTCTCTCTCCACTCACTTTCTCTCTCTATATGCATACACGACCGCCACCACCACCATCAGCAACTTATCTTCTCTCTCTAAAATGCCGATTTGTAACTGCCATCGTCGACCTCCACTTGCAACTCATCTTCTCTGGCCGCATGTATATATATATATATATATATATATATATATATACATGTATATATACACATCAGTATCATCATCATGCCTCCATTCCCACTTTTTTTCTCTCTATATCACCACCACATCTTCTTCACAACTCTGCCACTCCAACCACCCACCACCATCACTGCCACCCACTACCCACCATTAGAAACCCTGCATCTCATGAGCCTATCTCTATAATGCTTGTAGAAAGAGAACCCAAATGCATCTCATCCTCTCTCCATCCACCTCACCCCCTCTCTCTCTCTCCACTCACTTTCTCTCTCTATATACGTACACAACCGCCACCACCACCATTAGCAACACATTAGGAAATAATAATAATTCCTAAATATCTGGTTGATTTATACCTTTAAATAGTCAAGACCTCTGTTTTAACTCTCAAGTCCAAACTCCAAGCTTCAATGGAGGTTTTCAATCACAAACATGCTTATTCACTCATATTCCTCCTCTTCTTCTCACTTTTCTTTTCACTATTTCCATCCCAAGCATGCCATACAGTAGACCAAGAAGCATTACTCCAATTCAAACACTAAATCACCGATGACTCTTTAAAATGCTTAATTCATGGACACCTTCTTCTGATTGCTGCACAGCCTGGGAAGGCATTGCCTGTGACACCTCCAGCAGGGTCATCAACATCTCTCTTCCCAGCCTCGTGGCCGGTGACGACTACCCCATCGACACCTCCATACAACTAAAACATTGCCATTGGAACAACAAACATGTTACCCTTGCACCAGATATCTATCAGAAAATGACGTATACATAACACACACACACACACACACACACACACACACAGAGATAAATATACCAACAGGATTTTCTTTTATTAAATGAAGCACAAATCATACTACATGAGAGAAAAATTCAAGCCGGGGGGTTTTTCTTTCCAAAAAAAAGAGAAAGAAAGTCTCCTATTTCGGCTCAAAAATGCTCAGCCTCTGAAAAGTGGTCTACCTCTATACTGTCTTGATTCTATATACTAGATTGTGCATGAGTAATCAACTTCCATCCAGTTAGCACTCCTCTATTTCATATCATGCTCTGTGTTACGAAAGTTGAATCCAAATATAGAGGCAACTTAAGTATACATAGCAATTATAATGGGCACAGGATCACCAAGGGCTGGTGGACTAATGCACCATTTTCTTTATTAGTCTCTCTCGAAATCTAGGCAATTTAATTGCCGAAACAATAATTTTTGCTCCACCTCACTAGGCGTAATAAGAATTTATTCACCTCATCTGGGTTACGCAAAGAATATAAAGCTACAGTGTCCTTTGTAATGGAAGAAACAACAATAGGAAAACCTTGTCCCCTACTCCGAATAACCAAACACCATTGGCAAGCTATCTGAATTAATAGATTTATATCTCGACAACAACCAAAATAATAAATTAAAAAGAGTAAATAAACACACACACACACACACACACATATATATATATATGTTCCAGTAAATGTAGTATTAAATTTGATAATTTAAAAAAATAAAATTAATAGTAAACATATATATAGAGATGTGTATTGTCCAGTATACTACATTATATATATATATATATATATATATATATATATATATATAATACAGAAAACACACACATATTTACATATATACTTATATATGCATATCTTACCTTAAAAACAAACAATTGAGTGTCATTTTAACAGCAGAGGGCTCCAACTGTAATATTCAAGGGTAATATTGAAATTAAAAGAAAAGGACAGTCACGTGCTGACCTTGTGGGCTGGAAAGTGGCCGGAATTGAGTGTCAGGGGTTAATTTGTACGATTTTTGATAGTTGTGATACTGACTTGTTCATTTTTGTAGTCTAAAGAGATAAAATGCCGATTTGTAATAGCTCAGGGAGATTTTTTGTACTTTTACCTTCTATTTAAGAAGAATGTATTTATACGTCGCTGCATGAGTGCACAAGGTAATACCTCCTCTTATTGGATGGGGGGTCAATAAAACTTAGGTGAAAAAACCTTTGGGTAGAAGTACTACAGTTAGCTGGAGAATTGTTAAAAAAAAAAAATAAAAAAAATAAAAAAAAAATAAAAACATCAAAATGATGAGTTCAATGGACATCAAATGATCAGTCGGTGGAATCCAACACTACGTCTTGCATTTTTCACACGCTATCTTTTCTCATCACGACGTGACATGCGCTGGCAAAAAGACAACCGGTTTACAACCGGCCATATCGGTCATTTCTCTGTCTTCGTCAACGTCTATGGTGGACTTCATTTTAGGGTTTTTGCGAGCAAAATCTTCGGCTCTTGTCTGAAGAAAAACCAAAAACGAGAAGAACAAATCAGGTCTTAATCTGCAATTAAAGTCTACTTCAAGCGCTTAATTCTACAGAGATTTCTCGAATTTCTCATCAACTGGTAAGTAATCTCTCTGATCTGTTTGGTTTCTGAAAAAATGAAGGAAAAGAAAAGTAGAAAACAATTTTATTTGTATTATTTGTGTTCTGGAAATGAGTAACTCAGCTCAGCTTCGTTGAGCAGTTGTATTCGGCTGAGTTAGGTTTTGTTTTTCAATTTCCTTCTAAAATAATAGAGAAAAGTAAGATATTTAAAATGATTTGAAAAGTTTGTTTCTGATGAATCATAAAAAAAATAAAAATAAAAAAGGGAATCGGTTGTTAGAATGCTTGTTCCTGATGGAAACTCTTGTTCTATTGGTGTTTGTATAGTTGGGTTGGGGCATAATAACTTTGCGACTAGCGAACTGCTTATCCCCAAACCCCAGAAAAGGAAAACAAATAATCCCCAAACCCCATAAAAGGAAAACAAAAGATGACCCAATTTATGTTAGCAATGGAGCCAACACAGTAATTCAGTGTGTTATGCTGTTTGTTTAAACATTGATATGTATCTATTCATGATTGTATAGTTTTTAATTTTTTTTCTTTTTGAATTTAGTGCAAAATCTACCTACAATGTTTTGTTTTGGATGGAATTAGAGGATAATGATGGTTGGACTTATTCTATCACAGTAACAGGATCAGAGATTCCTTGATGGGAGCATCATCTGGCTCTAACATCAACCACCAACCTACATCGAATATGCTGCCTCCGCGTCAAGTACCTCGACCTAGTGGCTTACACCCATCCCTATTCCTAGCATCTCCTGATGTCCATGTATCACTTGATCCTCAGGAACCAAGATCAAATTCTGATCAGGTTCGTGACTCCCCCACTGAGAGTGCTAGTTCACGCGAAACATGGCCCACTGCTGATGGTATAATGGCAAAAAAACTGGAGAATGGAAAAGCAGAGAACGATTCCCCTGAACATTCAGTCATTCGCCGGGTTCCTAGTTCGGAGAAGATTTCTCTTCAAGACATAGCAAGAGAGAGAGTTGATATAATTTCTGAAAAAATGCACATGCTGCCTGATGAGTTTCTAGAAGAACTAAAGGGCACACTCCGTGTAATTCTCGAAGGAAGCGGTGGTTCTCAGCACAGAGAGGACTTTTTGAATTTGCAGAAGCTTGTTCATAGTAGGTCTGACTTGACTGCTAAAACGTTGATTAGAGCACATAGAGTTCAGCTGGAAATTCTTGTTTCTATAAACACGGGGATTCAGGCTTTCCTGCATCCAAATATTAGTCTCTCTCAGACTTCCCTGATTGAGGTGTTTGTGTATAAGCGATGCAGAAATATAGCTTGCCAAAACCAGCTTCCAGCAGAAGACTGTATCTGCGAAATATGCACCAATAGAAAAGGTTTCTGCAATCTTTGCATGTGTGCAATCTGTAACAAGTTTGATTTTGAAGTGAATACATGTCGTTGGATCGGTTGCGATTTGTGTTCTCATTGGACTCATACAGACTGTGCAATTCGTGATAAACAAATATGTATGGGTCCTTCTGTTAAGAATGGAGCTGGCCCAGCCGAGATGCTTTTCAGGTGTCGTGCATGCAATAGGACATCCGAACTCTTTGGTTGGGTTAAAGATGTATTCCAACACTGTGCACCAACTTGGGACCGGGATGCTCTGATGAGGGAACTTGATTTTGTTAGTAGAATCTTTAGTGGAAGCGAGGACCCCAGAGGGAGGAAACTTTTTTGGAAGTGTGAGGAACTAATAGAAAAATTGAAGGGTGGAATCTCAGAAGCAACAGCTTGCAGAGTTGTATTGATGTATTTCCAAGGTATGTATTATGCTTTTGGCATTTTTTTTTTTTTCAATTGTATCATTTTATTTTATTTCATATAAAATTGATTTTTTATTTTTTATTTATTTTTATTTTTATGAATAGAATTTCTGAATCAATGGTGGAACAGTTACCAAGGGGAACAAAATCTTGAGGTTCTATTTTGTCTTTGGAAGTGTGTTTTGTGTTTAACAATTCTTTAGTTGAGACAGCCTACTTTTCTTAAGTTGAATGGCAATAGTTGTCCTGGGGAATTTAAGTAAATGACTCTAGTTTTACTCCTACATAGTGAACACTCCGTATATTTGTGGGTCTTTCCTAAATTCTCTCTTGTGTGGAGGGTTGGAACTTGGAGGGATTTGAGGGTTGCGATTATTTGATGTTGTTTTTCAACCTGTATATCCCCTAAAACTTATGTTATATGGACTTCAAACATGTAAAGTTGGTTGTGTGTCTAGGTGTTCGGTCTTCTTGAACCTGAAATATAGTTGATTAGATTTTAAATTCAATGGGATGTGGTGATAAAATGGGATTTTCATCCATCTCCCCATGCAAGAAGCAGGAACCTTTCATTGTTTATTTTTTTGTTTCCATCATCATAGGGAAAGGATCCACGTGTTCAATTTGGGTACATGTGCCAGCACATCTCTCTTATTATTATCTATGTAGTGTCTTGTCGACATGGATGCCTTAGGGTGAACAGGAATTTCATGTAGAACTGGTGAACACATTTCAGATCTCTTGGTATGCTTGTAGTCAATGTTATAAATTTTTTAGTTGGCTTGGAAAAATCTGAGAATGCTTATTTTTCTGTGGTATTGACAGTATTACAGTTTATGATACATTTACAAGATTAAGGGCATTGTGATTGATATTTTTGACGGTGCTGTGAATATCCTACAACTTGTACGAATTCTTATAAGAGAAAAGAAGAGAGAGAGCGAGGGAGAAGGGGGGGGGGGAATATAAAAGATTGTTGGGTCGTGCAGCCCTCCATAATAATGGGCCACGATCTGTAACGACCCACTCTACTATATGGTATGATATTGTCCGCTTTGGGCCTGAGCTCGCACGGATTTGCTCTTGGGTTTTACCCCAAAAGGCCTCATACCAATTGGAGGTGACACACTTACATATAAGCACTTCACCTTTCCTCTACCCAGGCGATGTGGGACTGTGCACCTGTAGCTCGCCAGTGTGGTAGCCTGACAATGTCTCTCGCACCCGCCCACGGCACACCCGCCCACAAGGTCATCACAATTCACCCCCCTTGGAGGCCTGATGTCCCCGTTGGCACACTTCCGGCTGGGTCAGGCTCTGATACCATTTGTAACAACCCACTTCACCACATGGTATGATATTGTCCGCTTTGGGCCTGAGCCCGCACGGTTTTGCTCTTAGGTTTTTACCCCAAAAGGCCTCATACCAATTGGAGATGACACCACCACATATAAGCACTTCACCTTTCCTCTACCCAGGCGATGTGGGACTTGTGCACCCGTAACTCGCCAGTGTTGTAGCCTGACAGTGTCTCTCGCACCCGCCCACAAGGTTATCACACGATCATTCAAGTTAGGTTTAAGAGGAGAAAAGTGAAAAGGCAAGGAAGGAAAAGAAAGCTTGATAAATTTTATCAGTTCGATCATAGAGAAGAGTAAGTAGTTTGGTTGTAGAGAAGTGATAGAGAATGGAAGGAATGGAATGCTCAGCTTTAGTCCTCATTTATTTACCTGCACACCTTGTGCTGAGATGTTGTATTTCTCTCTTAATCACTCCCAACTCACCTCACTTTTGTTTTCGTACTTTTTGTGGGTCTGGAGTAATATTTTACCCTAACCACTCCATGTATCATCTTTTATCGTTTATTTTAATCAAATATCACCATGTAAAATGGAAGGGTTTTGAAATCTGTTCTCCCTTTTAGTTAGATGTAAAATGGAAGGGTTCTGAAATATAACTTTTAATTTCTCATCTGACAGCTACATCTCCGGGCTGCTTTTTATCTACCACGATTTCTTTACAGGAGTAGCTATTTTGCCTTATACATCTCTTTTAAATAATAAATTACGTCGGTTCCGTCTTTGGCCAAGGTACTAAATTAATAATTTCGTTAAATTTATAAGATAATATATTTTAGGAATTCTCTTATAGGTTTCTATTGGTCCCACTTATTACATAAATTAATTATTTGGTAAGAAGTACATATAGGACTGAGTATGACGTTTTCTTGAAATATGAATCTAGTGTTGCTTATCTTTTCTTGAAATTTAAGTCTTTTGTTTATTAAATAATAAGTACAAGACGTTGAATCTTTAGTTAGTTATATGTATCTTTGATGTTGTCGACCGAATTTGGTGCCGGGTCACGTTGCGACCCGCTTACGACCTGATGACCCATTGGATGAGCTTTGTGTGGGCCCAAGCCCCCGTTTTTACTCATGGGTCCTTGACCTTAATTAATACTCTCTTGTACCCCGATATATAAGTGCTCGTAGGGTTTGGAATCGTACAGAGAAAGTGAGGGGCTGAAACTTGTAATCTCCGATTTTACACATAGTGAAGACTTTCGCTGGATCTCCACCATGGACGTAGGTTTTGTCGAATCACGTATAAAACTTTGTGTTCTTTGAGTGGTGTGTTTATTTTTCTGTCATGTTTCGTAATTGTTGCTTGATTCGCTGCGTTTGTCGTAATAATATCTTTAATTGATTAGATGAGTACCATACATTGAATCTTGATTGATTAAATGAGTACAATTCATTGAATCTTTAAGACTATTGAGAAACTAAATGTTTTGAAAAAAAAATAATAATTACATAAAAATTATTGTTAAATTAATATCTAGCTTAATTAATAGAATTTATGTGGTCCCAACGCTATAAATTTATAGAGGTTATATTGTATTTAGAACCTACTGAAATGAAAATGCATTAGAAATGCAATTCTCTACTGTTAATGTTTTTTATTCATTCAATATTCTCTGATTTCTATTTCATTATGTTAGAATATTATAGTTAAAAACTATTTGTCTTCTTTCACCTAGATTTAAGTTCCTTGGACTGTGAATCAAACTATTGTCTAGTTGGAACAGTTTACCGGTATCAATACTAGATAATACATTTAGAATTAGATTTAGATGATATATCCAAGTGGAGGAGTATTAGTAATCATAGTAGACTACCTTTATATATATATATATATATTTCCAACTTGGAATTTAGGGGTTAACGTGCTGCATATGTGAACATAATGGAATTCCCCCGTCTCTCTTTTTCTTTTCTTTTTTCCCCCTTGTTCTGATTGATGTATTACTTTTATGAAGAGCTTGAGATGGGTTCACCAAAGAATCCAGATTCTGGGGAAGGTGGACAGCTAATATATATAATGTTCTTGATAATGTTATTGTTATGGGATCATATAGTTGATTATATTTTAAATTCAATGGGATGTGGTGATAAAAAGGGGATTTCCTTTGGTGAAGAGCACTTTATGTAGTCGTCCAACTTATTTCCTTTCGCTGTTCCAGATTCCCTCTTATGTTGTTGGAAGACTTGAGATGCTTCGACGGAACTTTTTGTGGGGCGGTAGAGGGGAATAGTTTAAGTATCATCTTGTTCGATGGGGGTAGGTTTGCTGACCCCTTAGGTTGGGAGGCCTAGGGATTAGGAGATTGACTCCCTTCAACAGGGCTCTCCTAGGCAAGTGGTTATGGGGATTCGGCAGTGAATGGCATAGGTTATGGAGGAAGGTTGTTTCCTGTCGGTTTTTTGGGCTGGGAAGGAAAGGATATTCGGTTTTGGGAGGATGCTTGGTGCGAGGACCGTCCTTTGTCTTGTTTGTACCCAAGGTTGTTCAGGATTGCTGTTGATAGACATGCTTTGGTTGCTAACTATTATCGCCTTGATAGCGGTAGGTTGTCTTGGGATGTGCATTTCCGGCGATCCTTTCAGGATTGGGAGTTGGATGACGTCACTGGTTTGCCGGATCTTCTGTATAGACAGCAGGTGGATGGCACTGGTTCTGACTCCTTGACTTGGGTGCTTTCTCCACAGTGGACGTTTCAAGTCCGGTCCTTTTTTTACCAGCTTTCAGGGTTTCAAGGCTCCACCTTTCTGTGGAAAATGGTTTGACACTTGAAGGATCCTCTTAGGGTTGCCTTCTTTGTGTGGACTGCTGCTTGGGGCAAGATCTCGACTCTGGACAACTTGAAAAAGAGAAGACAAGTCATCGTTAAGTGGTGTTGTCTGTGCATGAATGATGGAGAGTTTGTGGATCTTCTTCTCTTGCATTGTCCCATGGCTCACGACTGTTAGAGCCTCATTCTGAGTCTTTTTGGCTTTCAGTGGGTTATGCCCCGGACTTCAAGGGATTTGATTGATGGTTGGAGGGGCCAAAGGGTGGGAGCGCGTGTTCGTGATTTTTGGAGGGTGACTGCCCTTTTGTATTTGGTGGAGTCTCTGGAAAGAACACAATCAAAGATCTTTTGATGGGGAGGGGATCTCCATCAGGGTGTTGAAGTTCGCCATTCTTTGCTCTCTTTTTAGTTGGGGAATGGGGAGAGATTGTGTTTCTTTGGATGAGATTATGGACTTTTTGGGGTCGTTGGGTTTTCCTTTTTTTTTTTATTTTTTTTTGGTACAGCTTTTGGGACGCGTTCCCTTTTGAACGCTTTCTAATACATATATACTTATTAAAAAAAAAGGGGATTTCCATCCATCTCTCCATGCAAGAAGTAGGAACCTTTCATTGTTTATTTTTTTGTTTCCATCATCATAGGGAAAGGATTCACGTGTTCAATTTGGGTACGTGTGCCAGCACATCCCTCTTATTATTATCTGTGTAGTGTCTTGTCGACATGGATATCTTAGGGTGAACAGGAAATTTCATGTAGAACAGCTGAGATTTTTGAAGGTGCTGTAAATATCTCACTAGTAGGAATTCTTGTGTCACTGTATGCCAAATCTGATAAGTATTTTTTTTTTTTCCTAGTTGGTACTTGCACACTAAGGAATTGTTTGCACCTAGCAAAGTAGCAAGAAGGCCCAAGTCTTTTCCAACTAGGCCAACCCCTTGGAGTAGCTATTTTGCCTTGTATTTAGAACCTACTGATACGAAAATGCATTAGAAATGCAATTCTCAACTGTTAATGTTTTTTATTCATTCAATATTCTGTGAGTTCTATTTCATTATGTTAGATTATACTAAAAATTGTTGGGTCTTTTTTCACCTAGATTTAAGTTCCATGGACTGTGAATCAAGTTATTGTCTAGTTGGAACAGTTTACCAGTATCAATACCAGATAATGCATTTAGAATTAGATTTAGATTAATTATCCAAGTGGAGGAGTATTAATAATCATAGTAGACTACCTTTATATATATATATATATATATGTAAAATTCCAACTTGGAATTTAGTGGTTAATGTGCTGCATATGTGAGCATAATGGAATCCCCCCGTCTCTCTTTTTCTTTTCTTTTTCCCCCCTTGTTCTGATTGATGTTTTACTTTTATGAAGAGCTTGAGATGGATTCACCAAAGAATCCAGATTCTGGGGAAGGTGGACGGTTGATAGCCCCACAAGAGGCATGCAACAGAATTGCTGAAGTAGTGCAGGAGGCAGTGATGAAGATGGAAATGGTTGCTGATGAGAAGAAGAGGATGTTCAAGAAAGCACATCTGGCTTTTGAAGCTTGCAACCGGGAGCTCGAGGACAAGGCCAGGGAAGTTGCAGAACTAAAGCTAGAGAGACAACGAAAGAAGCAACAGATTGATGAATTAGAGAGCATTGTGAGGCTTAAACAAGCAGAGGCTGATATGTTCCAGCTTAAAGCCAACGAAGCAAGACGGGAGGCTGAGAGACTGCAGAGGATTGCTCTTGCCAAGTCAGATAAATCGGAGGAAGAATATGCTAGCAAATATCTGAAACTCCGGCTTAGTGAGGCTGAAGCTGAGAGGCAATATCTTTTCGAAAAGATTAAGCTTCAGGAGAGTTCGCGTGGATCACCAAGTAATGGTGTGGGTGATTCTTCACAGGTTATGATACCTGATAAAATCCAGGACCTGCTTAAAAATGTGTATAGCTTGCCCTCAATGGCAAATAGCCAGCCAAATGAACACCTCCCCACCAGGTCAAATACCTGAGCATGATTCCTGGTTTTTGTTGTGTATTAACTTAACCACTCTGTTGCTGATCAGAGCTTGAACGCCATGTTATCTTATCGGTGTCATGTTACCTTTGAACAACTGAACTACTTATATGTTTACGACCAATACTATACATGAAAACTAAAACTGATGAAGCAATTTGGAATTCCAAGTTGATTCTTGTATGTACAATTACTCTGTTTTCTTTTTATTTATTTATTAAAGTTCCTTGAGACTATTGCATTAAATAATATGTTCATTAAATTAACATGGTCAAAATGTGGACGTTGAAATAAATGTGTCCTAAATTCCTAATTCGAAGTAAAATCAACAAAGACGGTTTGGCTATGTACAGTGATACCACTAATTTGAACTAGTAAGAAATGCTGAAATAGCAGTAATATGATCCTCATTGAAATATTGACACGAGAAGAGAAATTAATTAATATTAGTTTACATGGTAATAAAAGGGTAAAAGTCTCTCTTCATCTTCTTCCTCTCTGTTTCTCTCTACACTTGGAGAGAGAGAGCTGTCTTGATCATCAAAAGCTTGAAGGAATGAGCAAGAAGCACAACCAAATGAGAATGTTGTAGACTGAGTACGATGTTAAAATAGGATTTTTCTCATATATAAAAAAAACCATTCTTAGTAGTTAAATATGAAGAGCTTGTTATTTTTGTCATGAGCAAACTCTCTTGACTGCATTACTCTTGATAATATATATATATATATACACACACACACATACATACACACATTTTTATTTAAATGCAACAGGTGGATGCTTTCTTTCAACTGTTATGGGTAAACCTGGTTTCATTAGTCAAGAAAGTAGGTTGGGCATAATCAAACAGGAAATAGATTTTGGGTTGCTCCTTTGACAATTATTCTGTAATCTTGTTATAGTTGATTAAGGACAACGTGTACTCTAGGTGGGTGGGTGGAGAAGATAGACAATGTTTTATATATATATATATATATATATCTTCTATATTAGTAGTAGTTTATTATGAATTCACATCTGATACTGGGTTGGGGAACATCCTATAAAATTGGAACAACACATCTGCCCACATTGTACGTAACAAACAAAAGAGAATATGAATATCAATTATACAAGCATTTTGGATTGTTTAAAGAGTTGAAGATATTATTCTTGAGCCAGAGAATGATAAGGATATCATGTTCATATGTATGGACAGAATTGGAGATTGTAATCCTCACATAGAATTCTGAATGGTACATTAATGTCCTTTCTTTGCACATCAACCCACTGCAGTACTAAACTATAAATTATTTATCCAATGCATGTGTGACCACCATATACATATTTCTTTCTCACTCTCTACCCTAATTAATTCCAATACAAGTACTTGAGCAACCATAAATTAATCACATGCATGTGCGTGAAAAAATGTGAAATTAAAATATTCGTTTATTATCAAAGGATGTAGTTTTGTGATACTGTCTCAATCTTTTAAAATTAAAAATTAGAATGTTTAAATCTTTGTTAATTCAAAGTGAATGTGTAAGTACATTTGTTGTCAATGACAAAAAAAATAAAAACAAAAAAAAATAAAAAATAAAAAAAAAAAAACGAAGAAGAAGGAAGAAGAAGAAGAAGAAGAAGAAGATATGTTTCTATTACAGATTGATCAAATGTTTGCTATAGTTTATGGTAAGTCTTATAATGTTGCTAAATTAATGGACTGTAAAACGTCATCGTTCGTGGGTAGTCATCGTTGAGATGTGTCATATATCATGTGATTGTGATTACAACGTTCGTGAAATTCATATAGGTTGAGTTCAATGTTTGTTTTCAAAAGTAATATTAAACTAATTTTCTTTCCTACTGAAAGCTCAATTGAAGTGACCACGTGACTTTAATAATATGTGTGTTGCGGGGTAATATACGTGCTCTAGAGAAAGAAAAAAAAAAAAAGTGACCACATGACCTCCTATTTGAATTCTCTCTCTTTGTCCTTTTTTATTTGATGTCATTTTGCTTATTATATTTAACTTTTTAAATTCGATCCAAGTGAAACTCTTAAGTAACTTGTAGTGTGCGACGTCACTCAATAATTAAAAGTACTTTAAATGACCTGTTTTGAAAAATAATTTTTCGAATCACCGTCAATAAATGAGGTGAATTGTAAATCATTAATTTTTTTTAGAAATGCCACAAGTTATTTAACTTAAGATATTTCGGACGGACACTGAATCTCTGAATTGTAAGTCATAAATCTTTGGGAAAAACAAAAAATCACAAATCATTTAACTTAAGATAACGTAAAGAATTGTTATTTTTGAGGTTTTCGGAAAAAGTTTTATTTCTTTCTTTTTGAAATATTGGGTAGGTTGTAAAATATAGTCATGATTCTAAATCGATATGGAAATCGAGAGTGAATGATTCACGTGCCATCACCAACTTTTTCTTTCATAAACAATTGAAAGAGATTACAAAACCTAGAATGTTGATTGGTGGGTGCCCAAAATTCCTTACCCTACCATGAAAACCTCCTAACCTGGAGAAGAGAGAGATATAAATTATGCTCTGAATAATTAAGTCTCTAAGGAGATGGCTATCACATTTTTTTCTTAATTTTATACTACTTAAAGTAGATGCTATAACTTTATGGCTTCTTTTAATTATAGAAGTAAGAGATATTATTAATTAAAAGTTTAATAAAAAGATTTTGTTATTATCCATGAAAGTGCAAATTCAAGATTCTCTCTTTCTCAATTGAGTTACCTGGACCATGTCCATACTTCACAAAATGCATCACGACAAAAACATTCCAAGGCTATTATTTTTAATTATGTGTTTATTGAATAATAAAATATGAAAATTCATATATTCATTTCATTATACAGTGAAAAAGTATCAAACAAAGACACTATTTTGAATATATTTTCACCACTTTAAACCCAAAATATTTCATTTAAGAAAAATCAAGTCCTGCTAATGAACTTGAGACGAAGGCAGTGAAATGATCGTAGAAGACCGAGAAATGGGCATAATGGAACTTTAAACCCACAAGTGGAGGCCAATGATATTTTAAGAAAATGTCAGTAGTGATTTTATAAATTCAGATATTTGCCCTTTGTCCGTAAGTATAAACCATAAAGCAAATCATTGCCCTTTAGTACCACCAAGGTGTGAGAGATGCCAAAATAGCTCTGGTGGGACCAACTACAAATTCCATCCCTACTCTTAGCTGTTTCTGTTTTTATGTGGTCAGGGTTTCTTTCTATGGATTTGGGTGTTTTCGTAACTTCACTCTCCTTCAAGTCAATTTACCAAAACAGGTATACCAATCACCATCACATGATAACAACATGATGGTCCAAAATGATGGACTTTTTGGTAAATCTGAACCTAGAACAGACGTAGACACGGCTACGCTTACTTCTACTTCGTCGCGTAGTGGGAGGGGTCTGTGTCCGGTTCTGGGGATGCGCCGTACGGTTCATTGGTTGTAGTAACTGAAGAAGAAAGAGAAGGGGTCAGTGGGACCCACCCTGATGATGTCGACGTGTCGCGCTTCCGATGCTTTCCCTCATTTTTTTAATATAATGGATCAACAAAGAAAGGGAAGATAAGAAACGTGATTTGTCAGATGTAAGCTGTAATGTCCGACCATAACAAAAGGATGGAGCTGTAAATGGGTCCCACGCTTACTCGGTCACCAGTTCCGAGAACCTCTGTCTCCCTCTCACAAGTCTCCACCATGGGAAAATCGGAAGCGAATTTGAGTTTTGGCGTTTTAGATACAGAGTGTAATTTATGATCGAGGATAGTTTCGTCTTTTGAGCTTCACTGGAGTAACACGTGATGATAAATTATTATTGTTGTTCAACTATATTCCACCAGTTTAGGTTTATTTTAAATACTATTTTAAACTCCTACGAGCTCACTGTCTCGAGTTAGAGATTTTCAATAATAAGACCCAGTGATCATATCATTCAACATTAGTGTCCGACAGACGGACTCCGAAATTCATATGAGGAGTTTTTTCTAAATAATTTTAGGAAAGGGCAAAGTTAATACGTATTTCATAAACATATATATATCAAAATGATAAAAATATTGAGGGAATAATAGTAAAAAAAAAAAATCGTTATATACATATACATAAATTATATATTAAAGTTTGAGTAAATTACACGTAAATATATTATTTGACCTTTATTATTTCGATTTCTCTAAAAGTGTAATATATCTTTCATATTCTTATCTAATTTAATAATAAATAAAAAAATTGTCAAACCAACATACTCTGTTACAATTTTTTCCCTTCTTCTAAACAGTATATTACCCTATCTATTTTTTATTATTATTTTTTAAAATAAACCTAATGAACTCCTAAAAGAAACCTGATCAAATTTTTTTTTTTTTTTTTTTTCCATAATTTCTAATCAAATGTTATTAACAAAAAGAAATGTAAAATTTAATAATATCAAATTAGTATGAAAATTGACATTTTGCATTTCAATGGAATTTTATGGTATTTTTGTCATTTCATGTCAAAATATAAGGTTATTGAGATCTTTTAACACAAAGAGATGACAACTTAGTCATTTTTAATTTTTTTTATTAATGACAAGTTATATCATTGAACATATGCGCTAAATTTCAAGAAAATTTAAAATAATAAAAGTTAAACGTTCTACTCTATGTGTAATTTGTCAAAACCTTTAAAAAAAAAAATGTAATTTATAGAAGTTTATGTACAATCATCACTTTTACAAAATAATCATACTTGATATAATCTCTTCTTCATTTATATATATATATAATATTATTTTTGTTTGTGTATTACTTAATTATTGTAATAGTTGCATATCAAGTTAAAATGAAAGAGCATGGATGTTGATTGTTGGAAAAATAACAACTTTAGGTTGAGTGAGGGTAGTGCTTCAACAACACAAATTGTAACATAAACTAAATGCTCCAATTTAATGATACAAGTGATAATTGGTATAATTATAAATAAAGTCAAACAATACTTCCTCTAGGACTATTACTATTTCTTTCCCCAAAAAAAAACTAAAATTGAACGTGTATTGTAGAAAGTACTACGGAGTAATTGCCAATAAACACATGTACGTATTACAACTGGACAACTGAGGGAGCCCATACTGAAGAATCTTTTAAAATCATATTTTGAGATAGAGAGAGAGAGAGAGAGAGAGATGTTTTACTTATCAGAAAAACATCAAATCATACCACTTATATAAATTTAGTGATGTTTTAAACTATTCTTTTGTATTTTTATGACAAACACGGTGAATGAAGAATAAATCATACAAAATACGTAAATAAAATATTTTAAAATAATGTTACATACAAAAATATAAAGATTTGGCATGGTTTGTTACAGGTTGCATTTAAATTTATTGTTAATATCTAACGAAATGTTTCACTTTACGAATAAGGGGATTACAAGTTTCAATCCTCCAAATCCTAACTCTTGTTCTCTTACACGTGACTTTCAATATTTTTTACCATCCCAGTCAAATCCTAAGCGTCCTCTTTTGTTTAGTTACAAAAGAGTACTAAATAGTTCACAACCCACAAGCAAAAAAAATGTCACCAAAATTTTCCAATCATCAAGTCATCAGATCAAAAAAGAGTACGCTAGTACCATATTAAAGCCACTGTTGGGAAAATGAAAGTTTTTAAAACTTTATAAGGATTTTTAAAATAAAGATCTTGATTCATGTGCAGAGACAAGTTTTATGCATGAAAAATGTGATAATCCATTCAATTTAAGGATATAAAACTTACATCAAGGTTTGAGTAAACCTTAAATCTCACCATGTTCTCACTTATTGTAAATCCCTTTCCTAAATGCCTCCTCTTTGGATCTCCATCTTCTTGGTAATGGTCTTGCCAAGACAATCACTCATAAACCTCCATGAATGACCTTGGAAGAATAAGTTTGTGGGAGCCTTAATTAGATGAGAACACTGACCCTAAAATTCTAGAGAAAGAAAATATATTCATTTTTCCTTCTCAAAGTCTCTCCTAAAATATACATGGATCATGTATATATAAGCAACATAAAGATAAGGAAAGGAAATAATAAATCATTCTCAATCTTTAATTCACATATCTCAAATCTAATAGGATTCCAATATCAAGTTGGGTTATGAGTGAGAATCATTTGGACTTATTATTTTCTTGGCTACAATAAATTAATAATTGGTCCGATCTATTGACCCAATTCAATTAATTTATAAATTAATTTTTACTCCACTAATAGAAATTAATTAAATTAATTTTTATCGGATAAATAAAGCAATCAATCCGACTACTTAATTAATATATATATTTTGATACCTTTGATTATTTTCGGCTTGATCACAATAAAATATTTATTTGACAAAAATAATAATTTAAATAAATAAATATATAATAAATCATTATGTCTAAAAATACACGAAAGCTTTTGAATTTACTTTGTCATCAACCATAATTAATACAAAATAAATATAAGTAGTAATGATGCAAATATTGAAAATATAATTCTCTAATTATTAATTACATAATTACCCAAAGTGCCGGTCTAAGGATTCCGAAAATTCCGCCAAACAAATCAAAGTAATTACTAATTAATAAAAGAGTCTATACTTCTCTCATGCTTAAGAGTCAAATGCCATTACGGTGATAGGGAACAAATGCATACGATGACTCTGGCAATATATCTCAACTGAACGCGAATCCAGTTCAAATCTTAATTAATAATGAGTCCATCCATACTTACCGACTATGAACTATTTATGATTACTATTTATATTCATGTATTGATCGCCATCACATATATATATAAATATTTCTTGTAATCAAGTGGACACTATCAATTCCATAATGAATCGAAACATAATACATAGAATTCACCAATTGTATAAAGTATAAATATTTTAAATATCTTAGGAACATATGTCACTTTAATCTAATTAGAAATTCGCTATGCTAAGATATATAAATCCCAACCGTTATAACATCACATTTATATATCTTATTTATTATTGGATGCACCTAATTAATTTTTGCATTTTTATTTGTAACAGGGAAGGGACATATATAATATGCAAGATGGCAACACAACCCATCAAAAAGTAAAAATAAAGCAAGTGCTAAATTGAATAATATATATATATATATAAGTAGGAGTTAAATTGAATATAAAACTTGGAATAATGTTATAATCTTTACTTCTGCTTTACATTACACTGAAGTACTATATATCATAACTGAACATACAAGTGTTTGGATCATTATTGACAACCGTATTGATTGCACATATAAATTACAAAATTCCATGATCACTCGTTTAGTTAAGAAAGTGAAGTGTTTTTAATCCTTAGGCATTAATTTCAGATTATATGCATATAGTTGTGGACTGTATTAGTTTATTGATTACCAGGCATGTATAATTGATTAATTAGTAACTCTTATCACTCTTAATTTCTAACTGTTTTGTTTAGTAACTCCAATTTTTCTAGTCCTTTAATTATTCATTTACAATAACAGTTGTATGAATATCTTGTTCTTATTAATAGGCCTGTGATGTAGCAGCAGAAGGCTTCTACTTCTCAAAGGGAGGTTGGGAGTTCAAGCCTCAATGAAGACAGTGTGTGTGAGTCTCAATTAATCTTGTTCTTGATTTTTTCTTTTTCTTTTTTTTTTTTCTTTTTTTTTTTTTTTAAAATCTCAACCTCATTTTGATTCTTATGATAGACCCAGTGTACATTAAATAAATAGATGTTGATACATTTTATTTATAATTTGTTTTTTTTATTATTTTTTAGTATAAAATTTCATTAACTTGTCTCTATCTATCTCAAGGAATAGTTTATATATAAAGATTTAAAACCATAGCGTGAGAATCTAAATCTCTTACCATTGCTGCGTGATAATTAATGAAGTAGTACTTTTGTTTGATTATAAGCTGACATGGTTATATTTGTTTTTCATTCTTGAAATTTAGAATGAAGTTAAAGCTAACATCATGAAACAAACATAGATCATTTGCATATCCATAGTCATAGGTTTTTATATTATTTCCCATCGATTTCCAAAATTAAATAATGATTTAATATTAGATTTTTGCCCTTTCTCGACATCCAAAAACTATGATTATAAATATATTTAACGTGCATGTTGATCCACCATAAGAAATCTTCTTTGGGAGAAGATCGAATAACACTATAGTGGTGGGTCTAAGTCCATTAAGATCTTATAATTAATTAAGCCTAAGAATTGTTACCCAAGAAGCTCCATACAATGAGACACTTGTTACACTTACACTAAATACTAGTTAGTTCCTTATGGCTTAAAATGACAAAAATGGCTCTCGAAATATATATATATATATATATAATGGCTTGGAAAGGTGATGGCCCCACAATCTCAACTATGGGAACAAAACATGATAGATAATGTCACATTAATTAGTTTGACTTATGATGTAGTTAAGGTGGAGGATACTTAGGTGAACATAATAAAGCAACCACCATAATCCTAGTGTGTCATGTAGGTTGTTATTAGTTGTTAGAAAATGGGGGTGGATGATGTTACCCACATTTTATAGTAGTGATACAAATAGCATATCGAACTGAACCTTTATTGTTTGTTTGCTTTTTTGTTTTTTTTTTTTTTGGCTAGTAATTTTACTTTCCCCGTTATGACTAACTAAATTCAATCTTTAAATAAAGATGAGAATAAAAATCAGTCCATTTAAATGGCAAATGTTTATGTGATAATAAACAAATAAATAGAGAATCAAAGGGAAACTTTATATGATTGTGGTTAAACATTTGTGTTGTATGGAGTAACATGTTACGTCCTAAAAAATGAATAATAGTACGGTCTTAAATTGTTTGGATATCTAATAGTATCAGTCAAATGAAGATAACTAAAGAAATAACATGGAATGAAAAATAACATTATTAACATAAAAGGTAAGAGAACCACAAAAAATAACACGGGATGAAAAACTGATTTAAAAAAATTGCAGTAGGCAAAACGACAAGTAATGGGAAGAATTCACTAAAGAGAATTCACGCGGTTGAATTTATTCATTGGATTAAGGCAATAGTGATGAAGATGATGAAAATATTTAGAGCATAGTCATTGCGAATGAATATTATTTAGAGTCATAATTTATAAATTGAAAAGGTTAAAAATTTAAATTTTCACAAGAATAAAGTGGGTGTGTTGTGTGAGTTATTCTTTGTCCGAAAAAATATATATATATTTAAAAAAATAATAACTAACTTGTTAAATTGAATTGGATCAACTTGAATTGCCACCTTCATCATCATTGTTGCTTAAATACATTTCACTTTTGGCATATAGTAATTTTTAAGTAACACAAATATAATGTGGGGTTTTACTTTGATCATACTCGATTAAACTACTTTTACCCCAAAAAAAAAAACATATACTCGATTAAACTAAACTAAAAATTGAATTGTTGGTTTTACTTTACCTTTATTTATTATCTAGACAAGTAGTCATGATTACAAAATATTACAACCTACCAATTGATGTTTCATCTTCATGAAAAACTCCTGATCTATACATGCTACCATATTGGTTTAATGTGTGTTTGTTAAACACTTAAGGATGCCTCAATGAATAAATTACCTTAAAAATCATGGTCAAACTAATGATAACTTTGATTTTGGTGGTTAGTTTAATGCCCACTTTAATTTTAAATTGGTAAATAATTAGACCATCCCGTTTAGCTTTTTTTAATTCTTTTATACAATGGTGGGTATGGTATATAGCCGACATACATGGCCAGAAATTACCTGAATCATCAATATCTTTCAAGAATAATAATGTGTAGATTAAGAACATCAAACGCAGGGCGCATGTTAGCAACCAGCCCTCTTTTCGATTAATATTTTTTTAACCTATTTCTCTCTCTCTCTAATTTAACACACACACTCACTCACTCTCTCTCTCTCTCTCTAAAGTCTAAACACACACATCCGTATTTCTGCACAGTGGCAGAAAACAAATACCCCCAACCTTTAAACAGAACGGTGCAGTCTCTTTCAACGGTCTCAAAACCAAAGAAGCAAAGAAATGAAGAAGTAAAGAAAAAGGGAGATAATTATATGGAACAAACAAAATTATATGGATTTATTTTAATACGGGTGATTTTGGTTTTTTTTGTTTGTTCGTTTTTTCTTAACATTTCCCACTAGATGATGAGATAATGATGTACCCAACCAAAGTTGAGAGAGAGAGAGAGAGAGAGAGAGAGAGAGAAGGTTAAAGAAGAAAAGAAAAGCACCTCTTTTTATCCCACATTCTGATCATTGATTCCAGTTGGGTTTCCAGTGAAACCAACTGGGTTTCATCCGATTTATCTTGATGATAAGTGCTCTTCGAAAAGTTCTTATCTTTATGATTCTTTAGGCACACAGAGTTGTGTGAGATGAAAAACTAGATACAGGGAAAAAAAAAAAAAAGAGAGACCATTTTTATTTTTTCTTCATTGATGATTCCATCGCAGCTTTCCAAAATTGCAACTGGGTATCAACCAGCTTGTTATTATTTGGCATGATATCTTTCCTTTGTGTTACCCGAAAGAGGTATGGTTTTGATGGGTATTATTGCTTATGGAGTAAGAAGACGCAACACAGTATTGAGCCGTAATATAGAGAACAGAGAAGAAACTACGAAGTGGGTGTGCTATACTTGCGTTTTGTGGGGGAATATGGAGCTCGGTTGCTGAAGAATCAACTTGATTTCATGCAATTTCATCTTTTGGTTCTCTTGAAGGTCTGATTTTGACGAGTTTCTGAGTTGGGTCTGTTAAATTTTCAAGCTAGTTTCACCGTCTAGGTGAATCTTTCTAGCGTATCTATGCTAAAGGTTTGATTTTGACGAGTATTGAGAGCTGGGCTTGCTGAAAGAATCAACTGGTACGTTTTAATTCCAGTTATATGTTTTGAGTCTTCATAGTAGGTTTAGGTCTATTTTTGATGTGTTTTTTCTGCTCTGTTTAGGGTTTCTTTCAACCTTCCAGGTTCTTTTTGAAGATATATAGGTGGGTTTTGGTTAAAATGTCGTTTAATGGTAAATTATCAGCTAATTTCAAGCTGAAGAAGGCAAAGGAACCATTGCATGGATCTAATTGTGTCTGGAAATGGAGGAGACATCTTTTGTTTCTGGGGCTCTTAGGTATTGTCATTTGGTTCTTCTCTGGCTTGAATGATGGGGTTTTCAGGAGGAAGGAGGAGATACCAAGCTTGTTTAAAGACAAAGCTAGAATTTTGCTTGAACATTTCAATGTCAGCAAGGACCAACTTCGTGCCTTGGCTTCTTTATTCTCTGAATCAGATCAGGTTCTGTGTTTATATCTCTTAGATTTGTATATTTAATATTCTAGAATTTTGCTAGACTTTTCAGTTTTTTAATTAAATTGTTCCATTTTCAGCCTGAAGTATTTTCTGTTGGTACAACTGTTTATATTAACAAATGCTTGTTTTGGTTAAGAATTTGAGTGAACATGAAGAATGGCACAAACTACAGAATATGATATAGTTTGTCTTACTATACCTGTTACTAACAAACGTTCTTTGTTGTTATTTTATTGTGGATTGGAATTTATGTTACATAATGCTTAGAATTGAAATGTGGACTGTAATGAAGTACAGCAGGATTCATGTTCATATTGGTCATAACAAAAGTTTTATGCTACCTGTCAAGCTACCTAATGCAACCCTCCTCCTTTATCTGGGCTTCAGACCGGCTGTGTAAAGATGACACAGGCGAAGTTACTATAATGAAGTAACAAACTTTTTAAAATTTGAAAAATATAGAGTAGAAACTCTGGTGTTCTGCCCATTTTTGGGTCAGAGCATAGTGAAAAAAGTTGGAAATGAAATTTGCATGATAATGCAGATGAACTCAATAAGTTAAGCTGCAAATGGTTTTGAATGAAGTAACTAGGTTCTCTCAAGTTAAAGCTCTTGAGATGGAATTAGGTAATTACATACTCTGTTTCCTATCCTCCTCCAAGTCAGATTTGTTCCACCCTGTATTTGTGTATCTGAAGTAATAATATATCAGATGTTTGATAGACTAATTGCAACTGGACGAGTACTGTTGATTTTTAACCCCTTGTTTTTGATGTTCTGGTTTCAGTAATATTCAACATCAGGGGTTGACAGTGTTGAATCTTTTTCATCTTCAGAAATAAAATTCAAAATTGCAAGGTCATGATGGGAGAAGGACCAAAAGTCAATACAGGCATATGTGTCATTGATTATCCAAGTTGTTAAATAAATAGCAATGTCTGCTTCTTGTCACCATATGGAGCAAAACATTAAGCTGGTATCAAACACATTTATTTCTCCTTGTTTCATTTTATTTATTTATTTATTTTCCCTAGTTGGTACTCACACACACTTGTCTCTTCCGAGACTTGAACCCCTGACCTCCCTTTGGAAAGTAGGAGGCTGATACCGTTAGGCCACTGGCCCGTTGGTTCTCCTTGTTTCTTTTCCAAATATGTTTATCACAACTTTTTATGTTTGGATGTTGACCCAACATTACCAGGCACTACCATTTCTGATATTGGAAAAAAAATCAAACCTGGTAGGTGAAGTCGAAATATAATCTGTTCCACAAGAGTAAATATTGTTTTAACACATTAGCCACTAAGTGTAATTCTAAAATAATTGTTGATGGCAGTTGTTTCTCTCTCTCCTTTTCAGAACTGAGCATCTGGATATTCTACTCTGAATATTATTAAAGCATAGGATTCTTAATGTAGAATGCATTGTACTGGCAAGTGGGTGGTGATTTAGGTCATGGCAGACATTTTTGCATTCAATCTGGAACCACAATTCTACACACTTCAGAGTCCATCTTGTCAAGTACTTTACAACAAATGTCTGCCCAGACTGGAACTTCTTATATTTCCACATAAATCCTATGGGACTTTCATAAACAGATCTCTTGGTGACAAATCGGGAGTTTCTTATACTTGAGCACAATCTGAAGTGGACCTTGTTTAGCCCACTGTTTCTCTCATTTGTTGGTCGCAGTTTATGTTATTATACAAATTTTTTCTTGACTAAACATTGGGATATACTTTTCCTTCTGATTGAAATTTACCACATAATTTCTCCTGGATTTGATGCAATGGCTTTTGCCAAAAGTGCCTGAGCATTACTGTCCTAAAGTAAGGATATCAAGAAGAAAGAATTGCAACTGTTACAAGAATATAAATGATGCACTGGATTATTTTACATGTTATTCTTTTATGCCCACTCACCTAGAATATGTCTTGCAGATAACATCCTTGAAATGTACCAAAAAAGTAGGCTATAAAATGCCACCTAGTAACGGTATTGCCTGTGCTCTGAAGGTGCTAGGCCCAGAGAAGCAAGAATTCAGAAAGCAGCACGGAATGGGTGTAGATGTAGTACCTGATGACCAATGTCCTGTTCAAGATGAGAATAATCCCAGGAAGCTTGGCCTGTGGTTGTTGGAGGATAAATCCCTATCATTTGTTTCGCAATCAACGTCTCCATCTTCTTCACCAAATCATCAGAATGATGAAGAGGTAAGAGTGGTTTTGCTAATTCTAGATAAGGCTTTTTTTGTGTTTTCTTTTACTTAGAGCAGTTGATTTTCGATATGTCATGCTTGGAATTCTATGAATGCAAATTGTTTCTTCACAATGTTCATAGGATGACTATGAAATGAAATATTTAGATTATAACACCAGAAAAAAGGAAAAAATGTCTTAGGGTACAACATGCAGAAACAAACGGACGTCGCATATACTTTCGGGCAAATTGTCTGTGGAGTATCACTTACACTGTAGAAACCATTGTACATGGAGTACCATTCTATCACTTACACTCTAGAAGCTTCTCGTGACAGAAAATGCATTTCCTTCATTACGGGTTTTGTGGGATACAGAGTCAGAATTCTTATGGAACTGGGATAACTGCCTTGCTAAGAAAGCATTTTTTTTTTTATAAGAAAAAGGCCACAATCTAGTGTAGTACCTATTAATTGAGGGTGCTGAGAGGGGTAGCCTAAAATATAGATCTAACATTTGGCATTATATTCACAAAGCGACTGCTGTCACACTCGAATCTTCAATCTCATGGTTGGCAGCCTGAGCTTTTAGCATTGCACGAAGCAATGGTCCCAAAATACCAACTTTTGATGCTCAAGTTTTATTTCGAAAATGGTGAGGGAAGAATGGAAAGGAGAAGAGGGCACAAATCCTCATGTAAGTTTTCATTAGTGGTATCAATGTAACTGCATCCTTGTCTGTTGGCAGCTTAAAGAGTTTCAAATAGGAAGTTGGTGACTCAATGGAATAAATTTTTTTTTTCTCGGTTGTATTTCCAACTTTGTGATCAGGAACTTGAATCTATTAGTACTTATAATATCTGGAATCATGAGTTATATGTGATGATATGAAGAGTGGCTTCCTCATGCTCTTTGGAACTCTTATGAAAATTCTATATTTTTCAATCACAGTACAAACATTTCTTTGTTTCATGGTTCTGAAAATTGCTAATTGTTTTGTTTTTTGGTATATGGACTTTGATCAGAATGCACTGCAAAGAAGGGCTCCTGGGTCCGGTGAAGAGTGCTGTGGGAGTTGTTCCTTTTGTTTTGTGAATGTATGCTGGTGGATCATTCTTGGAGTGGTAGTGAGCTGCAAAATGCCTAGTTTACATGAAAAATTGCAAAGTCAAAATCAGAAGCCAGTTCAGCTGCAGCCACTAGCTCAGCAGCAGCAGCAACTGCTGCTGCAGAAGCAGCAAAACATTGCTCAGAATTCTTCTAAAAGTGCTGGGAAGTGGAGGAAGAAGCTGCTAATTATGTTCGTCTTAGCTGGGGTGACTGGATCCATTTGGTTATTTTGGCACTTGAAACAGGATATTGTTGTAAGGAGGAGAGAAACACTTGCAAACATGTGTGATGAACGAGCCCGAATGTTGCAGGATCAGTTTAATGTGAGCATGAACCATGTTCATGCATTGGCTATTCTAATCTCCATGTTTCACCATGGAAAACAACCTTCTGCTATTGACCAGGTAACCCCATCACTGTACCTTTTCAGTTTTCAATTATACTTGGGAGCTAGGAGTTTGTTATCTATTTATAAATTTATATTATGATAAATCTTGGTAGCGCTATATATGCTTACGGTACATTGCTTTGCTGTCACAATGATTTTGAACTTGGCAATTTTTTTATTGTAATCCACAGAAAACATTTGGAGAATATACCCAGAGAACAGCTTTTGAGAGGCCACTTACTAGTGGTGTTGCCTATGCTTTGAAAGTTCCTCATTCAGAGAGAAGGGAATTTGAGAAGCAGCACGGATGGAAAATAAAGAAAATGGAAACTGAGGATCAAACACTAGTCCAAGATTGTCTCCCAGAAAATTTGGATCCTTCACCCATTCAAGATGAATATGCACCCGTTATACTTACACAAGAAACTGTCTCCCATATTGTATCTATCGATATGATGTCTGGAAAGGTGCGCTTTTTTACTTTTCAAGGCTTAGGGAACTTTCTTATTCTTTTTATTCCTATTGAACAAATATCACTTCCATTAAGCTAATGGTTTCGGTTTTACTACTAGTTTTACCTGTATATAATCATATATAGTCAATTTTCTGTCTACTTGTTCATGAAATATGGTTCCTTCATCTCCCTTTGCCAAAAACCCAAAAACATAAAAATGAAAATAAATGAAAGAAAGAAAGAAACAAGGAAGAGGAAAGAACAGACACAATTTATGGAGTCGTCATGATTCGTGCTCGATATGGAGTTCTGTTGACAGGTAAAATTGGGGTGGGGGTGGGGATTTGTGGACAGTTTGACAAGTTCACTTTGTCAATAGGATACAGAACAACTGATAATTTCCACGTATAAGAACAATCAGTAAAGGATTTGACCAAACCAAACATATATTATTTATTAATCATCTTGTAAGATGATGAAGTTTGAACCTTTTACTAGATTCCTAGTGGAGTGGTAAAAGGAAACTTTTCTTATTTCATGAATTTATATATATGTATGTATATAATGATTCTACAAAAACAATTTTAACTATAGATGTGAATTTAAGTTCAAATAATAATAATATTATAAAGAAAAACCATAATTTTGGAGTAAGTGTAAAAATTCCTTTCAGTTCTTGGTTTGGGGGAACTGGGCATGGTGATTGGGATGCAGGGTTAGTGTATTTGACTATTTTCTGTGGAATCTAATATTTTATATGCTCAATGAACTAAAATCGGCCTCACATTTTACTGGTTAAATTTGAAATTTTATATCGTATTCAACTTAGTAAAATCTGTTGATCATAAAACTGAAAGAACTGCTTATTGATTTTGCATTCATTTTAATGTGGAGAAAAGAACTGTTTATTGGGGATTGTTATATAAAAATACAATGGCCCAGGAATTTGGCTGGTTGACCACATTGGGTTGTAATTCCAACTTCTAAGCTGTGTGTACTTGTGTTGAAACAGTCACATCTGGGCACCCCTATAACATGCATAATCAAGATTAATTCATTTTATGGTTATTGGAGGATATTTAGCCATAAACAATAATAACCTACACTACAACTCCATCTCCAGTCTTTCACATGTATCACTCTAAAAGACTCCCTTCTCGCTGTCGGTGGTCTACCAACCCATAAACCACATTTCTACAGGTCGTGTGAGGTAATGTAGTCGAGACCTCACACATCCAATTATTCTGTCATGAGGTTACTTTTCAGAAGGCTTAATGTTCATAATACCAAAATTGCTCTTTATTATTTTTCATTTTTGTATAGGAAGATCGTGAGAACATCTTGAGAGCAAGGGCATCTGGCAAAGGAGTCCTAACATCTCCTTTTAAGTTATTGAAATCCAACCACCTGGGCGTTGTACTTACTTTCGCTGTTTATAATTCTCATCTCCCTCCAAACGCTACGCCAGAGCAACGTATTAATGCTACCGTGGGGTAAATTTATTTCCTTGAATTTTGATTTCTAGTACAAAGACTTAGACTTCATAGCCATGTGATCTATATTATATTCTCTGACGTGGATTACTGACTTCTTTAATACTGGGTCTTGCTTCTTAAAAAGGTACCTTGGTGCATCTTATGATGTCCCATCACTAGTGGAGAAGCTTCTGCACCAGCTTGCTAGCAAACAGACGATTGTTGTGAATGTTTATGATACAACCAACAAATCTGCAACCATTAAAATGTATGGTACTGATGCCCCTGATACGGGTCTACTGCACAATAGCAGCCTTGACTTTGGTGATCCAGCTCGGAAGCACGAGATGCATTGCAGGTTGGTTGTAAGTGTACATACTAGCAAGAAATATGGGAGAAAAGATACTCAGAGTTCGGGTTGTTCATTTTCTATTTCCTTATTGGTGAGATAAGTTGTTTACCCCATTTACAGCTTCAAGCAGAAACCACCTCCACCTTGGACAGCAATAACAGCATCAGTAGGAGTTCTTGTTATCACTTTGCTTCTGGGTCATATCTTCCATGCAGCCATAAACCGAATTGCAAAAGTGGAGCGTGACTGTCAGACAATGTTGGAGCTTAAACAACTTGCTGAAGCTGCAGATGTAGCAAAATCTCAGGTGCATTTCGTTTATGGTCAAAATGAATTGATAAATCTGCAATGTCATCCTTGCAACTGGGTTACATTTCTCTTTTTCCCCATAAAACATGATTTATGAGAGTTGCATTTCAATTCTCTCTTTAGTATTTTTCATCTTATACTCCTCTTCTTGAATATGTGTGATTCCTGCAAATGCCTTTAACAAATGTGTTCTTCTCTTTTGTAGTTTCTTGCAACGGTTTCCCATGAAATCAGGACTCCGATGAATGGTGTTTTAGGTGAATTAGAAAGTATTCTAGATTCACAGTTTCTATTATGCATATCCGGGAACAGTAATTAACAGAATACAACTTCAAATTTAAATTTAGGTATGCTGCAAATGCTGATGGACACTGATCTTGATGCAAACCAACTAGATTATGTCCAGACTGCTCATGCTAGTGGGAAAGATCTAATATCATTGATTAATGAGGTTCTTGATCAAGCTAAGATAGAATCGGGCAGGCTTGAGCTTGAGGCTGTACCTTTTGATCTGCGTGCTGTTCTTGATAATGTTTTATCACTTTTCTCAGTCAAATTTCATGAAAAAGGAATTGAGGTAATAATCGGGTCTCTGCCTTCGTTGCTTCATCTGTTTATTTGTAGGTACTAAGTCATTGTTGTTGCTAGTACTTGGTATCGTTTCTTACAAAAACTCTGTGGTTTGTGTTCTTCTGGGTGAGAGAAGCTGGCTATTTACATCTCTGATCAGGTTCCTGAAGTTGTCATTGGAGACCCTGGACGGTTCCGGCAGATAATTACAAATCTTGTTGGAAATTCAATCAAGGTTGGTTATGTTTCTTGGATCTAATTTGGTCTTTATGAGACATGGAAGGGCTAGAAGAATCCCTTTTGTGTTGTGTGCGTATGTGGATTCTGAAAAAAAGGTGGTGCTGCTATGCATAATACTAACACGTAGATGGGCGGGGGAGGAGTGTAAACCTATTATTTGATAGAGTACAACGTTTGGTCTTATAGGCTCCTTTTCGTGTCTAAGAAAAGTCAATCCTGAAAAGGTGATCGTCCTTGATTTAGTATTTTAGTTTTCTGCTTGAAGCATGAGAAGATATTATTATTTTAATAATTATTATACATTTGTTAATGATAATGGAAGGTAGCTTTCTCTTTATTTTCAATGTCACCTTCCAAAAAATAGGCTGTATGCTGCCGCTGGACACCTCATTGCATCTAGGGGTGCAAGTTGAGCGGGTTAGCCTAGCCCAACCCGAGATTTTTTGGATTGGGCTTGCCCATCCAACCCAAATTTGATTTTTTAACTTTTTCTTTATATATATTTTTTATTTTAATTTTTTCCCCATAAAACCATAACTACCTGCACCAAAAAAAAATCCTTCTGCTCAAAGAAGAAGCCACCACTACGTGCCGCTGCCTACCTCCTCTGCCGCCGCTGTCTTCCTCCTCCACCTCTGCCTCCACTGCCATTGTTTCATCTTCAATTTGGGTTGTTTGGCTGATGGTGTGGTTGGGAATGGTGGAAAAAAAAAAGATGTAGACAATGGGTGTTGTTTGGCTGTGATTTTATTTATTTATTTATTTTTTAACACTGTCTCTAAATTGATTGATGGCGAAAGAGTATTGAATGATGCAGATAAGCGGTTGTGTTGTTTGGCTTTGATTGTGTGTTTGGGGGTGGGTGGTTAAAAATATATATATATATATATTTGGTCAACTATTTTTGAAACTCAAATTGAAGATTTCAAATCTTTTTATTTTTCTTGTTTGGAAGAGAAGAAAGGGGGGCTGAATGTTTTTAGGGTTTGATGAGATCCTTTAGGTGCAAGAATGGACGGTTAAGATTAAGCTATAATTTTTTTTTTTTTAAAGGATCAATTGTGATTTTTTTTTCTTATTATGTTTTTATAAGATTTCAATGGTAAGTAATACACTGCCTCTTCAATACCAAAAAATATCAGTAAATCAGTAATACATACATATTCTGCCTTTGCAATGAAATTTTTTTTTTATAAATTTAAAATTAAATTCAAATAGTGAAAAAGAGGGGGAAAAAAAAAATAGGACTACTCATGGTTGTTTTGCGGGAAAAAGAAGAGAAGAAGGGGGGGGGGGGGGGGGACCCGTATACCCGCCCGACCCGTTAATATTCGGATTGGGTCTTGCGGGTTGAAGCCCAGGTTTGGATTACATCGGGTTGGCCCAACCCGAAGTCAGGTTGAGTTTGGGTTGGGCCAGGCTGGGCAGGCCCAAGTTGCACCCCTAATTTGCATCAAAGAAATTTCTTGCATAACATCACTTACTAAGTTACTAGTAAAGTAATCTTGATTGCTGATTAAATTGAGCAACATAATGCATTCTTCCTTTGTTTTCCATTAAGGCAATATAGAGCCCAGCTGAAAGCTGGAACATCAAAATTAGGAACTCTGTTGACTAGACCAATATTACTGAAATTCACAAGCAACATTGCTTAGAATTTGGGACATGTTAAGGGAATTACATTCTGTCATGTTGAGGTCATTATAGCGCAACTTCTCTATTACGTGAGTAAAGAGAGCTTATTTTCTTCTAATGACATTGAGCCCTTCTTGTGGTATGGCATCTGCCTTTGTTACTAAAACTGTTGCTTTAATAAAATCTCTTTGTTATATTACTTCTTCTCTTGTAAAGAAAAAAAAAAAAAAAAATCAATATTCAAATAAATTAGATCCCATGTGTAATATCCTGGAATGAAATCTACTACATTCAGACATACAAATTGGTATGATTATATATATCTTTTCTTATAATGCAGTGCATGGCCTTGTAAAGGTAGTGTTCCCAGTGTACTAAAGGGGAAAAAAAAGGTCTGTCAGTTTTTAGATGGTGTAATTGCTATGCTCATGATAAACTAAAGGCATAATCTACCACCACACCCAAGTTACTTGAACTTAGGTACATGCACCGGGCGCAAGAGCATGTCTTAAGTGTTGGATTGCTTTGAATCCAAAATTTTAGGATACAGGATGGACTCGACTTGAAATGTGGCTAGAAGATGTATATTATATTGCTTCAATATATGGTGTTATTGTTCTTTAACGATAATTTAAATTATATAGCATGTGGTGGAGAAAGGAGTTTCCATCAATCTTTGAAGTAGAAAACCTTGCTTGGTATCTAATTTATGCATAACCTGATTGCTATGCTCATATAAACTAAATGCATAATCTACTGCCACATCCATGTTACATGGATTTGGGTACATGTACTTGGTGCCACTGTGCCAGTATGTCGAGTGTTGGATTCTCTGAATCCGAAAGCTAAAGAAACATGAAAGACTTGACTTCAAAAGTTGGGTATGGGTACATAGACACGTCACACATCCTAAATGTTTACTTACATTACTATGCATATAATACTGCAATCTATGATATTATTGTTCTTTAAGGATATACAATTAAAAGGAACCTGGTGAGGAGTTTCCATCTATCTTAGAAGTAGAAAGCCTCTCTTTGCTATCAAATTTATACTTAAGCATTACGGTTCGTGTCTCAAAAGCATATTATACACACATTTATGTCATGACATGTCAAGATTAATACATTGAGGGGAATACGAGAGATTGTGAAACATAGCTGCGTACAGCACAGTAATTGGGATGTGATTGTGCAACCATACCAGAATCAATTTGATCATTGATAGTGCGAAAGTCAGTTATTATTTGCATTTGTTTCTAAGTAACTGCTTTGTTGCTTGTTTAAATTGCAGTTCACACATGACAAGGGGCATATATTTGTCTCAGTGCATCTGGCAGAAGAAGTGAGGACCCCACTTTATGTTAGGGACGAAGTGCTAAAACAAAGCTTAACCTTAGTTCAAGACCGGTCAAACAATTCTTATAATACATTGAGTGGTTTTCCTGTGGTTGATAGATGGAAAAGCTGGGAGAATTTTAAAATGTTAAGTGGCACAGATTTGACAGAGGAAACGAAAATGATTAAATTATTAGTGACAGTAGAAGATACAGGAGTGGGAATTCCTCTTGAAGCACAAGGGCGCATTTTCACGCCTTTTATGCAGGCTGACAGTTCCACTTCACGAACATATGGTGGGACTGGAATTGGATTGAGCATTAGCAAGCGTTTGGTGGACCTAATGAATGGAGAGATTGGATTTGTCAGCAAACCTGGCACTGGCAGTACTTTTTCATTTACTGCAACTCTTGCTAAAGGAGAAACAAGTTCTCTGGAAACAAATAGGCAGCAGTACAATCCAACTGTTTCAGAGTTTCAGGGATTGAAAGCATTGGTGGTTGATAGTAGAAGCATCCGAGCTGAGGTCACAAGATATCATCTCCAAAGATTGGGGATGTCCACAGACATAGTCAGTCGCGATTTTGCATGCTCTTACCTGTCTAGTTACTCCAACACAAGGTAGATCCCTCATATTGAGCATATCTGTTCAAAAGACTGGCTGTGGTTTGATCTGGACACATTTATAGAAGTTTCAATGCCTTAATACGCTTCAGTTAATTAAGCTACTCAAATATATATGATGGGAAGACTGCCATTATTTAAGTTACCATTCTTCATACAATATGAAAGAGAGCTATAATAAAATTCAACCACAAACTAAAGATACTATTAGACTTATTAGTCAAGAAAAGTAAAAGGAGGATGGTTTTTTTTCTGTATCACAGATAACAATATTATACATCTAGTTAACAAAAGTAAAAAGATGATGGTTTATCTATATCAAAGGCCACACTCTAATACATCTGATTTAATTTCTAGGCAAATAAATTGAGCTTAGAATTACTGACATTCGACTAGTCGTTGTGAATGATTAAAGTTGTCCAGTGATTTCCAAAGAGAGTCGGTCTGAACCTCCCTCCCCTCTCCTTCCTTTTTTTGGTATTTGCTTTTATTTTATCAAGAGAGCGGGAGATTATGCTGCTCATGTTAAAGTTTCGTGGAGCTTTAAAGTTGGTATTCTATTTTATTTTTTTTTGGTTTTAACCTGGTCTCATATTTCCTTTTTTTCTGATTGAAAGAGCTGATCAACTGGGCTTGAGTGTCAACATATGGTCGTTATTTTCAAAGTATATCTACTTGACTGTTAGAAGAAAATATCTTAGTCTTATCTGAAATTAATGACAATAGAAGTTAATTATTAGTGTATAATATAACAAATAATGTTTACAATGGCATCACATACTTCATTTTGATTTTGCAAATGATTTGATAATCATCTTGTCAACAGTGCATCATCACATTTAAACATGATTCTTGTTGAAAAAGATGATTGGGACAAGGAGATTGGTCTACCATTACATCAACTGCTTAGGGAGCTCAGGCCAAATGGCTGCTCAGAAGTCCCAGAAATTCTGCCAAAGCTATTTCTTTTGGCAACTTCTATAAGCTCTACTGAGCGGAATGAGCTTAAATCAGCTGGTTTTGTGGATGACGTGCTAACAAAACCTCTCCGATTAAGCGTGTTGATTTCCTGCTTCCGTGAAGCCCTTGGAATTGGCAAGAAGAGGCAATTAAACAGAGGGAAACTATTAAATCTTGGAAGTCTACTCAGGGATAAGCGAATATTGGTGGTGGATGACAATGCTGTTAACAGAAGGGTGGCCGAAGGTGCTCTAAAAAAGTATGGAGCAACTGTTACTTGTGTAGAGAGTGGAAAGGCTGCTGTAGCAATGCTGAAGCCTCCACACAGCTTTGATGCTTGCTTCATGGATCTCCAGATGCCAGAAATGGATGGGTAATTAACTTGCTCATGTCTTTAATTGCTGATTTTCCATTGTTATGAATTAGCTATGTATGTGATGCAACCAATGTATGGGCAACTATTTTAAATTTTTTGCATGATCAACAGATAGAAAACCTTAAAGGGCTCCACTCAAGATTTCTTCCAATGATCCCAGCTATTAGTTTCAAACTGTGATTGGATTTTTACTGGCCGCTTGGTTGTGTAATTTTGCGCATTACATCTAGATGATATTTTTAATAAAGTGCTGCAACTAAATCGTCAATGAACAACTCTGGTTGGCTGGACTGGCCTGATAAGCAATCAGACTACTGTAGAGATAAAATTGAAGAAAAAAACAGTGACGTATGGTTAACACTTTAAAGTTATGGTGGCTTTTGTATCTCCCCCCACCACCACCAACAAAAGATTGCCTTAGCATCTCCTAGTACAAGTTTCTTACCTGATTATCCCTCTTAAGATGGGATACAAATTTGATATTTTGTCATTTATTTTGCAGGTTTGAAGCTACGCGACAAATCCGCTGTCTAGAGCACAATGTTAATGAAAAAATTGAATATGTTGAAGCATCTACCAATGTGTATGCAAATATGGCTCATTGGCACACACCAATATTAGCAATGACTGCCGATGTAATTCAAGCAACGAATGAGGAGTGTGTGAAGTGTGGGATGGATGATTATGTGTCAAAGCCATTTGAAGAAGAGCAGCTTTATTTAGCAGTGGCACGCTTCTTTGAATCTGGTTGAGAGAGGGAATGGGATTGACATGCAGTGGTTGTTCAGTGGTGGTCCAGCCAAGTGGTTGTTCTGACTGATTTTACGAGTATATAACCCAAAGCAATTTGGCTGTCCAACTACTGACATCCCTCACCGCTATGAGAAGGCATGATAGGCTCATCCCAATTGGCATTCTTCTAGCCATTCCCCATATGGTAATTTCTAAACATTACGCTAGTAGATATTTTAATGCGCACATGCTTGCGGGCGTCAAATATTGTGCCTGAAGCATGCATTTAACTGCCAAAAGACTGCTGCTTGTCTCCTATATCTTCTTGTTTCCAATGCCACCTTTTCAACACTAGTCTTTCTTTTATTGAATTACTTTTTCTTTTCTTTTTTTCAGTAAAATCTGATTTTCACTGTTTTGCATATTCTAATTCTCAAACATCACTTTTCCTCACTGGTGTAGCTATGGTCTTCACTGCACGTTGGTAAACCATGTTAATTGAGTTTCTATTGATTCCTCCCCAATTTGTGCTTGTTAAACCATATCAGAAATGTGTTAATTTTGATATTTGTATTCTGGTGAAACTTATTGTATAAACGTGTTGTTTCTTAACTGCACAATTAACTATCTCATAAAGTATGGTTGGTTTAATAGTTGCTTTATAAAATTTACTATTCAAATTTAGAGATATACATTGATCTGTAAATATGTCAGGAGCACTCCATTTAGCCTCTCTTATTTAATTCTACAGTAACACCATTTCCAATTTGCCCGTCCTTGTGAGTAATTGAGCAGCTTGAGCCTAGATAATGAAAAACATTCACCATCTCTTGACCTCGATCTTCATTGCATCTCTATTTGTGTTTCTAGCTTTTGCTAAATTTACCTTCAATATATTCAGTTTTAGCTTTACATATACTTGTGTATATGATACGAATGGTTAATTTTTTTGATTTCAGAATTCCAAATGCAGTGACAGATGTTAATTGGTGGTGATCTGTTTTCAGGAATGCTTAGATTGCCACCATGATTAATGGTTTGTAATGCATGGATAGCCACAGAAAGCAGTGAACAAGCTGTGAGCAGTTTGTCATTATCGATCCATTCTACATCATCTGCTCACTTAACAGGGGACACGACACGATAAGAGAAAAGGAATTATTTATTTATTTATTTATTTTGTATATACCTCCTTTAGTTAGATTTTATATGATTAGCATGATTTTTTAAATACTGGCATTCTTCCTTGAAGAAGGTATGAGGATCTTTAGAATACCCACATTAATCCTAATGAGATGAATGACTCATCTTTTTTTTTTTCCTCAATATTCATGTAGAGAAGAATGCAGATAAATAATAATCACATTGCGAGAAGAAGATGGATTGTTATTCTGACAATATATTTTTTAACTTCAATTCTACCTGTTTTGAGGGTGATTAAACAGGTTATGGAAAAAGAGGTAGTAGTCAACGAAAGAGTAAAATTGAAGAAAATTGTCAGAGAGAACCCTTCTGTGATGAAATTTGGTCATCATTGAGCTAGTGCACTTGAAATATGCTGTGTGGATTGTCTATGGAATGGAGCAACTTTTTCTGGTTTTCCTTTTCTTGGCCAAGTGAATTTGGTGTTGTATCCCTACTTTTTTTTATCTTTTAATTTGTAAACTGGGTGTTGTATCACTCGTCACTACTTTTAATTTACTGATGCTTGAAGACTCGAACCATAGCTATCCTTTAGAGAGAGAGATTTTTGTAGAGTGAGAGAGAGTGGAGACTGGAGAGAGATATTGCAGAGAGAGAGAATCTGAAGAGAGAGGAATTTTGGGGCAAACACTGTGCTAAAATATGTAGAATAGAAGTATTCAGAGGTATTGTGGTCAACAAAAAAAATAGTATTTTGGATTTTTCATATAATTATTTGGTGACAGTTGTCATGAGGGGGCCATTTGCTACAAATTTTCAAATGCAGGGTTTTTTTTTTTTTTTTTTTTTTTTTTTTTTTTCACACACTTTACCCTTTTGTTTTTGATTCAATTTCCTTTCCTCCCCTACTATTTCTTTTCCTTTATATATATTTTTTCCCTTTTTATTTTCCTTTTCTTTTATTTATTTATAATTCTTGAGAGCAAAAATTAAAGCAATTTTTTGTTTTTACAAACTAGAAAATTACTTCCAAACTGATAGTAGAAATATCCTTGCCTTATCAATAAATTTATTTCATTTGCAATTTCATAAAGTGTGTGTTTGGCTGTTTACTGGAATTGAAATTGGTGGAATTTGAAAAAAAATTAGTTCAATTTTCTTAGTTGTTTTTTTCTAATTTCACCAATTTCAATTCCAAGGTTTCAATCCCATGTAACCGACCACACCCTAAGCATTATATTGTAGTGAAGTTTCAGCTTTACAATAGATTCTTTATCCTGTTTAGGAATCTGTTTCCATTACTTATTTAAGAGGAGTTTCGGATTAACTCTTGCCTCCTTTCTTATAGAGTTATAGGGGAACACTTGGAAATCCTTTTGGATTATTTTCAACATGAGAATTCTTCACTTGTATCTTTGCCTCTTACACTTTCCCCTCGGAGAAATTATTCATTGCAATTGTTACAACGATGACGTGATGTAATGGACGGTTATAAATACTCCACTAAAGCAAAGTGGACTTACTATAGAACTAAAAAGTTGATATATGTGCTTTGATGGAGTGTTTGTAGCCGTACGTTATACCACGTTATTGTTGCAACGGTTATAATGAATAATTTCTCGTCTTCTCGGTGAGTCGAATGTGATTAATTTGATAGTTCTTGTACATATACAGACCTGATAGAAGTTTTACGTTGGCTGTCAAGCTACTTACCGCAACCATATTTCTTTTTATAGGCTTGGAATTGGTTTTGTAAAAGATAAGGCATTATGCTCGACATGGATGGAGTTGAAATGACCACATTTATGAGATGATTGAAGTAACCCCAATTGGAGATAAAATGAAATAAAACATAAATCTTGATCTTTCGTCCAATAGAGTGTCTTTGTGCTAATTTGTAAGTGAAGAACCTCCTTTCTCTCTATTCGGAATTGGCATAATCAGTTAGTTCTGAACTTGACACTTTACCATATCCCTGTTTCAAAATTCAGAAGTGAATATTGACAATGTATATTATTGATTTCCTTTTCATCATTAAAATATTTTAGGATGATCCGTTGTTACACCCATACAATCCAAACCGACACAAAGTTGTGCGGTAACTTAGAACTTAGTTGAATAATTTAACTATTTGTCCCAGCCATTTCACGGTTCTCCTGAATTGACGGAATATAAGGGGTGCCAACTAAGTGCAAGTCATTTATTCTCCGAGCAGTTGCTCCAAAGGTTTCCTTCATGTCAAATTCTTCTGGTTTGATTCCATTTGGGAGTTTCCAATCAAAGTGGTATAGAAGTTGAGCAAGTGGAAGTTCAATATTTGCAATTCCAAATGATATGCCTGGACATATCCTTCTCCCAGCCCCAAATGGGATATATTCAAAGTTTGTCCCTTTGAAATCAATAGAAGAACCACGAAACCTCTCCGGTTCAAAGCACTTGGCATTTGTCCAACTTTTTGGATCTCTCCCTATTGCCCACGCATTAACAATGACTTTGGTTTTAATGGGTACGTCATAACCATTAATTTCACATCTTTCCCTTGCTTCTCTAGGGACTAACAAGGGAGCAGGCGGGTGCAATCTTAGAGTTTCTTTGATAACCAATTTCAAGTAATGTAGTTCCCAAATGTCCATCTCCTCAATTTTGCTCTTTCCTTTAAGAACTTGTCTCACTTCAGCTTGTGCCTTCTCCATTATTCCTGGATTTCTCATCATTTCTGACAGTGTCCATATTGTGGCTGTTGATGAAGTCTCAGTACCTGCGGCGATCATGTCCTAATAAAGAAGAAAAATATTTCACATTAGTTACAACAGAATAATATTCTGGTACTGGAATTGTCTGAAATAGGCAAATTTTTGGGAGTAACCTTATTCCTATGACATCACAGATCAATTTATATGGTTTAAAGTTCTGTAATTCAAGCACTGCCTCACCAATATAGACGTACCTCATTTATGTTTTTTGTTGAAAGAGTTTGGCATTTAGGTAGGAGCAATACTGGAATACTCCTAATCAAGGTAAAATTTAAACCAAAATGGGATTTGTGGTGCATGAACTATTGTGATAAAAATATTATCCTTAGTAGTTTGGCGAAAATGAATCTGAAATGGTTCTTAAGATAGTTTCAATGAAAAAAATTAAGATCCATACACTGCCTCATTTTTTTCACAAATTAAAGATTAATGCAGAATTTCTTTATCAATGCAGAATTTAAATAGAAGCAAGGCCACAATGGGATTCTGGTGCATGATCCAGTGGTATAGAAACATTGGTTCCTGTGAATTTGGGAAATGGCCATATAGAAGGAAGGCATTGAGTTGATGAGGCATATTATTATTGTGAAGCATATTGTTACGTTCCGATTCCTAACGACGCCATGAGCATAGAAGACACGCACTGGTTGGCTAAGAACATTCATTGACTGGGAATGGTTCCAGGGAAGGGGCGTGCAGGACCACAAGATGGTACCTCTTCAGAGTTCAGGCAGGTCGACTCGGTTCAATTCGAGGTGCTTGTCGCTAGTCGTGTACTTGACTATGAAAAAGGGAGTTGGCCATCCCTGCACAAATTGGTCGAGAGCTGGAGCCGTTCCCCTGATAAAACCAAGGCAGGTCGAAACCAGTCAGCATGTATCCTTGGGAGGGCAGGTCGTGGTGGCTAACCAGGGCGCTTGTGCGAGCTGAAGCAACGCCTTGGTGCAGCACGGGGCCGTGCCGCTCCGCCAAATCTCTAGGCCCGTGACAAATGGTATCAAATCAGGACTTGGGGTAAAGCACAGAGGTGTGCCCCCTTGTCGATCCGGGGGTCTTGAGAATGAAGTGGGTGCACTAAAGCGTCGGTGGGCAATCAATGCTGTTGGAGGAGAGCAGGGCATCGAATGGCCGGAGGGCCGCGCGCACCAAAGTTCTTGCAAGTTCAAGAGGCGTGCAAACCGTTGTGAAGGGCGGGTATCAAGTAGCCGTAGGACCCTTGTTTGCTCGGGGTGTCGTGGAGGCAGCATAACGTGGGGTTGCGTCCTGAAGAAGTGAGCGTCCCTTTAGCTCGAAACCCTATCATTGGGCAAGTGCAGCCAGGGGTTGTACAAGGAAGCGATGGTGGGCAGACGAGCATACCACTTGGAGGAGAGAGACTTTGGAATGTTGGACGCAGCGGAGTCAGTGCCGCACTGCGACAAGGGAGTCGCAGGATTTGGGTGGGGGAGAATGTCACGTTCCAATTCCTAACGACGCCATAAGCATAGAAAACACGCATGCTGGTTGGTTAAGAACATTCATTGACTGGAAATGGTTCCCTTGATGAGACCAAGGCAGGTCGAAACCAGTCAGCATGTATCATTGGGAGGGCAGGTCGTAGTGGCTGACCAGGGCGCTTGCACGAGCTGAAGCAACGCCTTGGTGCCGCACAGGCCGTGCAGCTGCGTCAAATCTCTAGGCCCGTGACAATATGCTGTGTTGTTGAATTGTATGTTATATTATATTATACACACACACACACACACAAGCATATGTGGATTCCTGCAAAGTGGCTTTCCAAATGGTAAAAGAAGCCATTTTCCGTCCTTCAGGAGGATTAGAAAATTTGTTCAAGACATTGTGAGTTTTCTTAAAAATCACTTAGATATCATTTCGATTATTGACTGAATGCGTCTGTTATGTAGTCTTTGAGTTTAGATGAAGTATTGTAAATATCTACTGAGACATACCAGAATGACAGCTTTGATGTTGTCTGTTGTGATAGGAAATTCAAGGTCACCTCTCTCCTGAAGATTCAGAAGCACGTCGACTAGGTCTTCCTCACCATTGATGGTTGTGGTTTTCCTTCTCAGTTTGTGCTCATTGATGATATCATCAAAAATCTTGTCAAGCCTTTGGTGAAGTTTCTCCAGATTAGGCTTCCCTCCACAAATCAAATGAAGGAACTTGAGCGATGGGAATATATCATGCACATCAAACCCCGAGGACAACTTTATAACTTCCTCGACCACCGATATGAATTCATCCTGGTCTTTGCACTTCTTACCGATGGCCGCCCTTGCAATTATGTCATTGGTCATTGAGGAGATCTTCTGACTAAGATTGATGGGAATTCCTGGCGACGAGGAAATGGAATCAATAAGATTGTGTACTTCCTCTTCTCTTAGTGATCTAAATGACTGAACACGCTTTGCACTTAAGAGCTCCAATATGCAAATTTTTCGAATTTGTCTCCAGTACTGGCCATAGGGAGCAAAAACAATATTTTGATTGTCATATGACATAATCTTGCAAGCGAGAACATCTGGCCTGGTTGCGAAGGTGAGGTCATGGGTCTTCATCACCTCTTTGGCTGCTTCTGGCGATGAAATGACAAGAGCAGAAACCTCACCAAGTTGTAGGTGCATGATGGGTCCATATTTGTTTGCCAAATCTCTCAAGGAGTGATGAGGCAGTGAGCCAATTAACTGGTGCAAGTTACCGATGACAGGAAGTTTCCTTGGCCCTGGAGGCAATTTTTGGGTTGGACTTTTAGCTTTGGATTGCTTCCAATGCTTTACAAGCAGGGACAAGAAAAGGAGGAAGGTAAAGAATAGAGGAAGTGAGGGTAGCTGAAGCTCCATTAGGGGGAAGGAAAGAGATTTGATAGTTTGTTTCTAAATGCTCCTCTTATTTTCTCAACGCTTAATTTATAGGCACTATTATCTATCTGTAGCAGCTTTAGTCTTCGCTTAAAAATTACAAGAAGATATTGTATTTTTTATGTTGTGCTAAACTCAATTAATTGTAATTAATATTGACTTATAAGTTGTTTTTTTTTTTTTTTTTTTTTGGGAAGGTATATTGACTTATAAGTTATAATACAAGATCCATGAAATATATATATTTATATATATACACAAATATATAGTATTATATAGTATTATATAATAAAATATTTAATTAATGCTGTATTTAAAAAAGTGTGCTAGTAATGGTCCTCAAGATAGCACGGCCAAACAGGCTAATATAAATGCTATATATATATATATATTATACAAAACATAAAGACATTTAATGAATATTAAATTTAATTGATTTACATTGTGAATGATGAACAAAAGAGTATTTAAAGGAGGATAATAAATTCACTATGAAAACCAAGTAAGACAAGGAGATATAAGGCACATTTATTAGGGTGCTATTAATTTATTATTATTTTTATTCTGACCACTTCAAGATATCACGGCCAAACAGGTTGATATTAATGATATGTATGTATATATTTAATTATTTATATTGTAAATGATGAACAGGATTATTAAGAAAGAAGGATGCTAAATTCACTACCAAAGACAAACCAAGTAAGTACAAACGAGACATAAATAAGACACATTTATTAGTGTGCTAGAATGCTTCTCAAGAACCACGGTCAAATAGGTTACCATTAATGCTATACACACACACACACACACACACACACACACACACAAAACATGAAGACATTGAATGAATATCAATTTTAATGATTTACATCGTGAATGATGAACATAAGAATATAAAGAAAAAGTAATCTTATTAAGAGGTCCTTTCACCTTAAATATATATATAATGAGTTTTTTTATTGTTTAATTTAAAAGTACTTCTTATGTCCTAAAAAAATGTCTATTTTTTCTTTTTGAGTTGTCCTAAAAATATTATTCACTTTTCTTTTTCAAACAATATATTTTATATTTTTCCATATATGTCTGAGTTTAAAATTTCAAACTTTAATATTCAAAACTTAAAATGAGAAGTTAATAATAAGATTACTTTTTAGGCAACAACACATGGCCCACATGTCCCTTAAAAATTTCTACTCCCCAAAAAGAAAAAGAAAGAATATAAATTTTTAAGGGAATATGTGGGCAATGTATTGTAAGACTGTCTCAAAAAGAATGTCTTTTTTGGAAAGTCTAAATTTTTAAGGGACATGTGAGCCATGTATTGTCCCTTGAAAAGTTACCAACTTGCCTTTTAAGTTTTGAATATTCAAGTTTGAAATTTTAAACTCTATATGAAAAGATATAAAATATATTACTTGAAAAAGGAAAGTGGACAATTATTTTGATACAACCAAAAAAAAAAATAAACATTCTTTTTGTGACAGAGTGAGTAATTGATTTGACTTTTCACATGTCTAAGAAATTGTGTCATTCAATATTTTTTTAATTTAGATGCATTAAATAATTTATTTGACTTTTCCCTCATCTAAAAAAAACTGTGTCATTTAATTATTAAATAGGAAAAGTTCACGACTCTTCTCATGACTTCTTAGAAGCATTACTTTACTAATAAACTCACTAGTCACTACCAAAGGAAAATTAAGTAAGAATAAGGGAGATATTGTAGTGGAAATTATTTTTTGTGTAAATATGTTTACTTATTTTATATAAATTCATTATATTATTAATTAATAGGTATTTTATATTATTATATACCATATTTATATTATATTACATGGAAATATCAAATTATAGTTAATTTATAAAATTATAATATAGTATATATTTTATTACATATAAGATAAATTATTAAACATTTTTATTTATTATAATATCCTGTAAAATAGATTATATATCATATAATAAATATGTATAATGGTGAGAATATTTTTGTTTTAACATATCTTATTTTGTACTTATGTGTTAGGTACTAGGGTTGAGTGCAAAAAAATCTCTGTAATATAGGTTTTGTTTACAAATAGTCCCTCTTTTTTTAAAATGTGCATTTCTGTGACGGCCCTGATTTTTCAAACCAGTGCGTCCTGTGATGAACCGAAGATTGACCCAATAACGGATCCAAATGTGGAAGCCAAAACTGAAAACAAGACTCTAAGAAGTTAATGTGACCTTTCATGAGGTCGTGGACCTCAATCAGAACTAACGCAGAAGCAAAAAATCGAAAATATGATAAATAAGCCCCCAAGGGCAAAATAGTCTTTTACATGGAAGTAACGTCTCTGAAAATGTACATCATTCCCAAGACACATCTGTGACTTCCCATGAAGTCGCGAAACTCATAAGAAAGCATAGCGGAAGAAATTAAAAAAAAAAAAAAAAAACGGGACAAGTTTAGCTCCAAGGGCAAAATAGTAATTTTCAACAAGATCTGGGTGCTACCGAGCATACCATTGGAAAGACAGTGAAAAATTAATCAAGTTAGACTCAAGAATCACTTGATTTGGAGTCCGAATTGAAGAGAAAAGTCAAAACAAAGTTTTGACGTCGCCGAGTCTGTGAATATTGTTTTGACAACAATGAATAGTAACCTGGGCAAAATGCTGAAGTTTGTGCGTCGTTTTGAGGTACTAAACGATATTTTCTGAAAAAATACGAAGAAAAAACCCCCCTTAAAATAATTTTTCCAAGCTGACCATATCAAAATAAAATTTTATTTTTGACGTGAAATCCCCAAAATGCCCTTACTACAGATTTTTTCAAATTGTGCAGGTGCGCACAGGAAATTAGATTTGACGATGGGTTTTCGGGTCCGAGATGACATTTTCTGGAAAAATGTTGTGAAGAAACCTCTCCTAAAATCACGTTTTCTATGTGACCATGTCAAGATCAGAATTTGTTTTTCAAAAAAAATTCCCAAAATGCCCCTAGATCAGTTTAGGTCAAGAGGATTAAAAAGCTGCTACATACATAGCAAAAAACTGAACTTTGTAAGGGATTTCCGGTACCAAGACGACATTTTCTAAAAAAAACACGAAGAAGAAACCCCCCTAAAATAACGTTTTCTACCAGACCATGTCAAAAGAAGAAAAAAAAAACACGCTTTAAAATGCCCAGAACGCCCCTGATCAGTTTAGGCCAAAAACAAGGAAAATGCAACTTTGCACCAAGTGTTCATTTGACCTTAAATGCATTTCTAGGCTAAAATGATTATGCATGCAAACGTATTTAGTGTTTTTAAGCACACGGGAATGGTCCGTGGCTCTAGAAAATGGACGATGCAAAATACGACCCCCCGACGGCCAAAAATAGCGAAAATAAACTCAAAATGGAAAATTTGAAATCAAAAAATATGAAATGGTTTCAAATTACCGTTTGGCCATTAGCCACACTTCATACATGATTAATGAGACTCTATGAAAGATTAAAAATAGAATTCCCACACCCGATGCAAATATGGTGAAGTAATGACTTGTCATTTTTCAATATTTTCATAATATATCTTGAAATCAAAAAGTTACATAGGATATAAAATAATAGTCATTGGCCTCCGGCCTCATCTTATACATGTCAAATACATCATAAAAGGTGTCTTTATGTACACATTACATATATGGAATCAAAGATACAAGTTTTGACATACAAAGTTACAAATAGGAGTTCATGCCAACATTTTCATGAAAATGATACTTCAAGTCTACGAAACTTCCATTGCTTAGTGTGCATCCCAAATCAAGGTCCATGTACCTGAAAAATGTTCCCACTACGTGGGTGAGTAACATAAAGCTACTCGTAGGAGATGAGCATGCGTCGACCTAGCATTTTATAATTATATTACCTTAAAGTGAAACATGTTAAAGGGGCTCATGTGATACCCCTCGGATCCGAGACACAGGTTGATTAGGCCCAGGCCCAAACCCGAGTGAAATATCAAACAATTAATATTTTAAAGCGAACACAGAATACAAATTGAATTAAGAAATAAATTTTAAGCTGAAATAAACTAAATATAAATCCTTTAAAATTAAATACTTAAAATCCCAGATAAATTAAAGAAAAACCAAACTGAACTGAAAATTAAAAGAAAAACCATAAAAATAGAGCTTTTATGTTGTCGGAAGAATGAGTGATCGCCTCTGCTCAGCACGAACAAGCTCGAGCCTGGAACTGACGTACACCTGAAAAATAGGAGTGGGTCAGGCCCACGAACAAGTTCTATCCTACTACAATCAAAGCAGAGACTCGATACCCATGTACACTTTAACCAACTCAACAATAACTATATAATCCGTGTCTATATATATATATATATATATCCATACTATGGACTCTCACTGGACTATGATACGGGTCTCAACCTAAGTAGAAGGTAACATGCAAAACACACCTGAGTGGGCATGACTACCTAAGCCTAACAGGTTACACCTCAACCAGTATAGCCAGTTACGCGTCCTATTGCATATACGCTCCTTAACCGTTGACTTTGAGACTCAAGCGCAAGTCACGGTACCATAATAATATATTTAAAATCCGTTCACATTCATCCATAAGAATTCTAGTAAGTCGTTCAGCTTATTCAACTGCACAGACTTAAGTCATTCAGCTTATTCAACCGTACAGACTTATACATAGGGAAGATTCTATTTTTGTGATCCATACCCTTATTCCAAAGTAGGTAGGACTTAACAATTTGAGCTAATCCAAACCTAGTATGTCACCGTCCCATACCGGTACATACAATCCAATCCATCCAACAGTTGATAGAATACATAATCAATGTACATATCAACTGAACCATAATAAGCATAAATAGAGATATAGACTAACATGCTTACTCCAGTAACTGATAAATCAAAATAATAAAACATATCAATTAATTCCATGATGAACACATATTAAATAGATAAGCATCATGTTCATCCCATAACTCCGTTACAAATTATCTTACTTGAGCATGCAGATAATTTATTCCTCTCGTCCATAAAACCATGACAAGTCTAATAGCAAAAAAAAAAACCATATTTATTATCATGCTTGTCCATTATTAATAACAACATATTAATAAAATTTCCACTCACAGAGAATTAATAAATTAAAGTTCAGTAATTTTAAAATTCCTCTGTACTGAATTAAAACAACTTCCGCCGAGACTTACCAATGTTCAAGCTAT